TCCTGCCTTAATAAATCAGAAATGTTTATTTTTATAATACAACAATTCTGGAATATGCCAGACTACAAAACAGTGAAGTTTGATTCCCCCTGTGGGAACACAATAGAACTCATTTTTCAATAATGTGTTTCATCTCTGAGTGTGGACTAGGAAGGATAATATTAAATGTTTAAGTTCCAAAAATAGGAAAAAAAATTAATGAAGTTTTATTTTCCAGTAAGTTCTAACAGATGGTTTCCAAACACTTTCATAGAGTTAAATGCATAATTTCACCCTATAAATAATGCTGTAAAACATTAAAAATAGATTTTAACACATATATCTTATGGGGCAAATGAAATGATAAAAGGAATTTTACAGTGGATAAACACACAGTTAAAGGATAATACTTGCTTACAACTGTGCGTCTCTTTTAATAGAATTAATGGATTAAATTTGACAGTTTTATAAACAACTCTTAAGACTATTTCCTTAATTTACATCTTAATATCTTAACATAGTAGAGGAAAGGCTTTCTCTTGAATATGAATATTTTTGTGATACTTTAGTGTTTTTAAATTCAATTTGTTTTCTATTTCAGCCTCACTGATAAGAAACCATGTTATAATCAAACGCTAAGAGAGTTAGCTATTATATTACTTTATTAGGTTAAAAATGCAAAAAAAAAAAAAAACCAAACTTGGCAAACAGAAATGAAACTATCATTGAAAGAATGTTTCCACTTAAGACAATTTTCTCTGTTGATTTCTCTCTGGGATTGGTCATTTTTGATGACTTCAGATCTACCTTACTATAGCAGTTAAAATGTGCTGTGTACTAGAAGGTGAAAATAAAATGGTGAGCTAAGGAAATCAATCAGTTATTACTATATGATTTTCAACAGAATGATAAAGTATGTTCAAAGTATTAACTCATAGACTCAGGAAGATCAAATGAGATTTGTAGGCTCCATCTGACAAATGAAGAGATGCAGAGAATGTGAGATGTGTGCACGACACAGAGCAACTACTTAAATATCTTTTATATCTAAATCATGAGAACTTGTACTTTATGAATGCCTTTATACACAAAGGCAAACACGCCCATGTGATCTTCATTCACGATTTCATCTTTATGTTTGTTTAACAATACATAATCATCTAGAGATGGTGCCAGCACTACCTTGAGGGTAGTCAGGAAACAGAACAAGCTTCTTCCCCAAAGGCAAAGGTAAAGCCACAAAGGATGAAAACAAATAGATCTTTTAAGGATGGTGGGTCCTACTGAATGAAGGAGAATGTTTTAGATAAGCTTATATATGGCAAAAAGAGCCCCAGCATAAAGCTAACTCTACATCATTAAAAAAAAAAATAAAAAAAAGAGGGCATTTGAAAATACTCTAAAAGAAAAAAAAGTTAGGACTGATACACAGAGGAACTAGAGAAGACAAGACCCCCAGGTGCAAGACCAGAGGAAAACACAAGGCAACAGGACTTAACAGAGACAGTGGGGAAGGCAATTCTCTAAGAGTGGATTTCTAAGTTTCGCCTATGAGGTCTGTGAGATACAATGCCTCTCTTTTTATCTCTACTACCAAATATTTAAGAAGCTTCACATTGTTTGGGTTCATTACAAGAACCCAAGGACATGCAAAGTTCCAAGTCTGGGTGTCTCTCAGGCTTGAGGGAGGCATCTGCTGATCTGCAGAGGTGAGCAGTCAGTCCTTTTTTTCTAGAAAGCGACAAATACAAACCCATACAAACACATCGGCAGCATCCAAATTAGGATCTGTGCCATTACGAATTATGGAGGAAAATTTCTAAAGAATAATAAACCCCCAAACATTTTGAACCCTAGAAATACGGTAGGGAAATTTGTTGCATATATGAATCCCAAAGATCTTAGTCTGTTTTCTACTTGAAAGCCACCAGCATATAAAGTTGATGTATTTACTCTAAACAACTACATGATCAGTACCAAGTTATGACAAAGGAACAGAAAGTTAAACATTGTGTTACTCGTGTGTGGACGCCAAAAAATAAGTTGATCTCTCATAGAAGCAAAAAGTAGAGCAGCGGATACTAGAGGCTGAGAAGGGTAGAGGGAAGGGGCAATTGGGAGAGATTTCTTAAAGGATACAAAATGACAGCTAAAAGAGAGGAGTAAATTCTAGTGTTCCATAGCACTGTGGGATGGCTACAGTTGACAATAATATGTTTCCAGGCCAGGCTTAGTGGCTCACTCCTATAATCCCAGCACTTTGGGAGGACAAAGTGGGTGATTACTTGAGCTCAGGAGTTTGAGACCAGCCTGAGCAACATGGTAAAACCCAATCTCTACCAAAAATACAAAAAATTAGCCAGACATGGTGGCATATGCCTGTGGTACCAGCTACTTGGGAGGATGAGATGGGAGGATCACTTGAGCCTGAAAGGTGGAGGTTGCAGTGAGCTGTGGTCATGCCACTGCACTCCAGTCTGGGCAACAGAGTGAGACCCTGTCTCTCACTCTCTCTTTCTCTCTCTCTCTCTCTCTCTCTCTCTCCATATATATATACACACACACACACACACACACACACACACACATATATATATATATATATATATACACACACACACACACATATAGATATATATAAAATACATACATATAATCACAAATAGCTGAAAGGAGCATATTGAATGTTCCTAATACAAAAAAAAAGGTTGAGATGATGGATATAATTACCTGATCTGATCACTACACATTATATGTATCAAAACATCACTATGCACTCTATGAATAAGTATGATTATTATGTGTCAATTTAAAACATTGTGTAAAAAAAAAGAAAAAAAATAGGGGATGGACACCACCATTTATAACTATTGTGTACTGGAAAAACAATACATGAAATGGAAAACAAACGTGATGTCAACCTCTTAAAACTGTTTAAAACTAGTTATTTAATAAATATTGAATATATACTCTATAGTTATGAACAAAACACAATTTTGCCCTTAAAGAACCCACAATCTAGTAAGAAGAGATCCACATACACATGGTTAAAACATGCAGTGTTTTTATGAATGGATTTAGACTTCAGAAATCTTACCTCTTTTTACAGACCCTGAAAGATTATGGGGATTGTCCAAGTTCCCATGGCTACAAGTAGCCATGTGGTATGGAAACTTAAATTATTTGACTCCTTATTTATCTCATCATAGTAATTATAAATCTCATAGAATGTGTTAAGTGAACAATTAGATGATAATATCTGACATCGTAAACATTTAATAACAATGGTAAATAAATAAAAAATGAGCAAACAGAAAATAAAGACTTTCCAAGGGTGGGAGTGGAGGAAATAATGAGGAAAAAAAAATCACAGGGCTTAAAAAATACTATTCCTGCTTCTTAAGGCCTATGAACAAATATAATTATTTCATCATAACTAGAATTATTTTTAAAATTAACTAAATTTTAAGATACTTCTTCCTAAACCACTTACACAGACATATGCTAGAATTTAAATTACTTCATTCCAGTGTGTCTTTTAATCACTCCACTTGCATATATCAATTCCTCTGGCTTCCTGGTGCTCATTTCATCATACTTTCCCAAGCAAAACCACACCTGTGCTTACATCCAGGGTTTCATCTACTCCACACCTGCATCCATGCAGCTGAAAATAGCTAGATGAAACTCATCCAAGATTATGGGTCTCATTTTAAGGCCAACAAATGCACGTGAACCTAGAGGACTGCCCAGAAATCTCCCAGGCATCACACTGCATTTCCCTGCTCTATTCATTGTCACATGGACCTACAAAACTATTTATACAATCTCCTTTAACAGAGAAAACAAAGGTGATTTTAAGAGTGTTCATAAGTCTCCACCAGCCAGCACAATTGCTCATCTGCACTTGCTGGGCCTGTATATTCCGTTCCCTCAAGTTTCTACAGATGACCCAAAGACGCTTCTAACTAATATCAATCTTCGCCTCCTATGTCAGCTCCCCACATTCTCATGCCTGCTCAGAAATGATGCTCCACTTCAATTTCCTCCTTTTAGTTCTTCTGGTTCATGTCTATTAGCATATGTGCATGCTATTACTTCTTTAACATAATTTCTTTGTAAGAAAGAAGACTTCGATCCCATCTCCCCTGCCAGTGACCATTAATTTCTCTTCTTTGCAGCAAAACCACAGACAGAATTTTCTGTGCTCCCCGTCTCCAGTTTCTCTTCTCCCATACTCTCATGATCCCAATCCCTGCACATGGTCACCCACAGCAAAGCTGCTTACCATTGTCACCAGTAGCCTTCACAGTCTAAATCTAATGGATGATTCTTAGTTCTTGCCTTATCTAACTTTATAACCTGCAGCATCAGACATGTTTGATCCCACTCTCCTTGAAATATGTTGTTTGCTTTCCAGACAGGATACGCTTTTTGTTTTCCTTCTAATCCTTAGGCTGTACTTTTCAATCTCTTTTGCCAATTCCTCCTTATCTTCCCATTGGGTTGAACTGCTCTTGGATCTTTTCTCCATTCTCTTGGTAACCTCATTCAGCTCTATTCTTATGACTCTCAAATTAGTATCTCCAAACCAAACTTCTGCCCAGATTCTGAAATCCAACCATCTACTCATCATATCCACTTAAACGTCTAATAGGCACCTCAACATAGCCAAGAAAACATAGTTCTCCCCCAAAACCTGCAGCAATCTTCCCCATCTGGGTTAATGACAATCACATTCTTGCAGCTTCTCAAACACAATCCCTGGAGTCATCTTTGTTTGTTTGTTTTGAGATGGAGTTTCGCTCTTGTTGCCCAGGTTGAAGCGCAATGGTACAACCTCGGCTCACCACAACCTCTACCTCCTGTGTTCAAGTGATTCTCCAGCCTCAGCCTCCGAGTAGCTGGGATTACAGGGACACACCACCACACCTGGCTAATTTTGTATTTTTAGTAGAAATGGGGTTTTTCCATGTTGGTCAGGCTGGTCTTGATCTCTCGAACTCAGGTAATCCGCCTCCTTGGCCTCCCAAAGTGCAGGGATTGCAGGTGTGAGCCACCACACCCAGAAGAGTCATCTTTTTCTCTCTCACACTTCACATCAGCAGATCCAATCAACTACCATCAAAATACCTCCAGAACTGGTCACCTCTCACCACCTCAATCACTACCACAATGTTCAAGCAATCACCAAGTGAATTACTGCAATAGTATCCTAACAGAATTCCATACCTTGGCCCCTGGCCCCTAGTATCACATAGCAGCCAGAGTAATCTTGAGACATATGAGTCAGATGCCATTCATTTCCTCAAAAGTTTCCAATTGTCCAAGTGACAACATAAGTCCTAGTGGCCTACAGAGGCCTACATGAGAAGGCCCTATTAATCACCCTATTACCAATTACACTACACTCTTGCTTAGTCTGCACCAGCCAGACTGGCCTCCTTGATGATTCTGCAATGTGCCAAAATACTCCTGCTTAGGACATTTGCATCTGCTACTCACTCTGCCTGGAATGTTCTTCCCCCAGAAGTTGTATAACTATCTCCTTTACAATTTTCACACAGTTGCTCAAACATCAACTTCTCAGTGAGGCCTCTACTGATCATGTAGTACTTTCTAAAGCAGTACTCATGCATGCACACGCACGTGCATGCACACACAGTGATGCTTATGATTTAATACTATATTTTGGGGCAACATGTATCACCACTTAACATATCACATTTTACTTTTTAAATTTGTTTATTGTGTAGTGGTGTACTGGAGACTTATCAAAATAGCACTGATTGTTTGCTTGACTCTACTGTGACATATCCTAGCATCTAGTACAGTTCCTGGCATATAGTAGGTACTAAAATACTAAAGGAATGAAAGAATGAATTTTTGTGAAAGCCACTTGCAAAAGTATACTAAGAAGGTACAAAACTGTATCTCATTATACAAGTTATATACAGTTGTATATGATACTCTCCCTGTTAAATAACGCCACATTCATTATTCAAATAAATGTCTCATAAAATGATAATTCAACTTAGCTATATTGGCATTTTCCCAAGCAAATAATCAGACTTTTTAAGTTGATATTTTCTTGGTTCAGAGTTACGTTTAGTTTTGCATTTCATTTATAAAAAGGATTTTTTTTTTAAATGGGAGAAGCGTATGTCTTTTGTTAAAGAGCAGTAGCCCAATTAAATATTACCAAAGAAAAATTCTTTTTACTTTTAGAATGATTCACCTTTGAACTACTAGAAGCTGTACACATAGACAATAAATGCATCATTAACCCACAACAAATAAAATTAACACTCTTCAAAGGCAAGAAATAGTAAAATGGTGCTCTTAATTACTTGTTTAAATGACCCAGGACTTTTTTATTACCAACTGCAGGGAATAAGCCACACCGAAATGAGACAGAACATGATGGATAATTTACCAGAGAAAGGAAACATCTGAGTATTTAGAAAATCCTTGGGCTATGGTCCAACAGCGTTCCTCCTGTGAGTATTAAGCAGACTTACTGCGATCTATTAAAACACACAAAAAAAACACAACCACTTTAAACATACTTAGCCCTGAAATACCTCAAATTGTAAACAAGTCCATTTCACTCAGTACAAGTTTTATGTATAAAAATATTTCTGAACCATCCAATGTGTAATATTGTGAGAAAATTAACATAGTAGAGGACTATAATATGCTTTGGTATGTTCCATAATAGATCTTATATCAATTGAAAAATCTCTAATGTTTTGTAAGCTAAAAACTACTAATAAAATATTATTATAAATTTTGCAAAATGCTAAAATCTTTTTAAATCCAAGGACAATCCTATGAGGTAGGTATTATTGGTCATGCTTTAAAAATATAAGAAAACTGAACTTCAGTGATATACTCAAGAACACAATTAGTAAGGTGGGAAAATGGTCCCAGCTTCTGACTCTGAATTCTCCACCATTCCATTAAGAACTCTGCTGGGTTCTCAAAGGTTCTTCAGTTATCATTTTATAAACTTTATTTGCTTAGAAGTCTGCTTTAATCTTACCTACTCCAGCCTGGCTTTCTTCTTCCTGTACGTATTCTGTCTTCCAAAGATGGTAAATATATCCCCAGGCAATTCTCTTGCTAAGTTCAACAGTAAAAACTAAGATCCCTAAATCCCACAGCAAGCCTTCCTTGCTAGCATAAACTTGTGAGTTTTATTAAAATGGCTAATATAAAATGTGCATTACATCTTTTCAAGGAGGAAGGTAGGTGATGGAAGGGTCTCATTTATAGAAGCTGTAAATATTCCAACTTTGATTCAAAAGTTGGAGGTGTTTTTTTATTATTGGAGCAAGTACACAGTACTACAATTCCACGTGTGACTAAGGAATCACAAATTCTACGGAGGGCAAGTAAGACTGGACTCAGTTAAAAGAAACTACAAAAAGACTATATGGGGGAAAGATCTTCAAAAGCCATATGATCCCATACTTTGAGGTGAAAATGAAAGACATGAGCAAGTATGACAAGAGAGAGAGGAAGCATCCACCTTTCCACACTTCACCAGAAATCAACAGTTACACCATTGTTAAGTTTGTAGACAGATAATTTGATCCTCAAAAATATACTTAATTGCTAACTTATAATTCAATTTTAACATGAAATTCAACCAGCAAGATCACTGGACCCAGGGTGGGGTAAAAACTACAGATGTTTTATTTTAAAATATTTTTAAAGCATTTTTAAGCTTTTTGTAAAGTTTGCCAACGTTAGTGTTCCAAGGTGAGAGAGTTCTTCAGAGAAAAGGAAACAGTGACACACAGCTAAGTGGTCCAGGCTAGTGTTTTACTATTGTCCATTATTTTATTGTTTTAATGGTATGCAAGCCGTCAATCCTTAAAAGAGGAACTACTCAAGCTTTTTTTTTTTTCTTTAGGGCTTGCAGGATTTTGACACCAACTGCTTACATAATGTATACATTTAAATGATACATTAGAGACAAGGACTGACAGACTTAACCTTTGTGATGGTGAAGCTTCACCACTACCAACAATGTCTTCCTTTCACGAAGGAAGCTTGTACCACAGGGCTTATGTATTTTATTGTCTAATGCTGCCACAAACCAGTAAATTAAAGATATGGCAAAATATCTGTGACAAAAGTCAAACATTGCTTTATAAATTACATGAGCATGAGAGAGAAAACCAGTATCATAAATGACTGGATCATTCGTAAAACCATAAATTTATCATGAAAATTTATATTTTTTTGATATACACTATTTTTATTTTTTCTAAAAAATGAATCTGCTGTGTAAATTAATAGAAAAGTAAGAATAATTCAAAGAGCTCGGTAATACAAATATCACAATGTATTTATAAAACAATTTTAAAAGATCTAAAATAAGTTTAAAAGATTTAAAATAATACTTTAAATTCTTCTTTATGGATATGTCATCTAAGAAAAGTCCCTGGTTGAATAAGAATTATTTTTGATTATTCAGTTCTAGATTTTCAGATCTTCATAAGTAGATATTACATAATGGGAAGAAATTAAAAGTAAATTGGAAAAAGATGTGAGTGGGGTTAGGATATTAAATCTTCAACAATCAGTGTAGCTCAATAGGAATATAAATAAAAATATCTTACTTTCTCAATTCTAAGTAATGATTAATAGTACAATGCAGCATTGATTCACCTGGGAAAAAAGAAACCTATATTATGTACTTAATGATAGAAAGAAATATTTCAATTTGTGAAATGTCAAAAATTGGAGGGGAGGTTTTAAAAGTACAGTTTAAAATTAAGGATGTGTAACTAACGTGGTTGAAGATATATGAATCCTGAAATGGGAGTTCAACCTTATTCAGTCCCGACCTAAAAACAAAAATCCTAATCAGATCATGGGAACAATTATTGTGGCAACAGTGGTGTTCTGGAGCACCTCCAAAGGTATGGTCGTGATGGTTTCTGGAATGCCCATTCTTCCCCATAGTCAGTAATGGGATGATAACATCCAGGCACTGGAGTTCCCAAAGTCCCTCTGCAATGACCTCCTGATGATTTTACTAAATGAAGTGATAAAAGAGTAATGGAACAGTAGTGCATACACTTGAACAACAGTGGGGGCATGTTGTCACAGCAATGAAATACAAATTGTTGTTCTTGCTAGTAGTTGACTTATTAGTACTACTACTAAGCTGAGATGAAATTGTGTGGTCTTATCTCTCAGCACAGACTTAACCTGCTTGGCTTTACTCTCTCTGGTTCCCTTATATCTGCCCTCTCACATACACTCTCTGACCTATATGTAGGGCTATACAGCTGAACCACCCAGCAGCATGTGCACCCGCATGTTAATGGCAAGGTGCTTTCCTATCCTTAGCCCCTAAAGCCTCCTCCTTCTCATGGGGGGATTTTAGTCTTTGCAATTGTCTTTTGTTGCCTTAATACTATGCCCCAGCTTGTCCATTTCCAGAGGCAATAGAGGGGCCCAGAAGCTCTGGGTTTATTTCAACACTGGCTTGCTCAGGATTTTGCCATTTGTAGCCAAGCCTCCTTTGCTAAAACAGTGTCTGGAGTGATGAGGAAAGAGACGGCAGCAGCAGCTGTGGAAGGAACAGATCTTTCTACTGCCCTCTTTGCCTGTAGCAACATAAACCCACATCATATGGTGGCATGAAGGGGGTGGAGACTCTATTTCCCAATGTAGAAGAGGGGAGAAGGAGGGGAGGAATCAGCATGGGAAAGAAGGTATGCGTAGGGCAAAGAAAGGCATTCATGTGACACAAGACAAATCTGCTCCCCACACGAAAACTTCACAAATTCTCATTCTTGCAAGGTGGGCACAATTATGTTCAAAAGTGGGGAAAGACAGAAAGCCAAGGCCCTGACTTTCAAGGAGATCCCAGCATCTTCCTTGGCATTCTCCTGCCGAAGAAACACAAATGATGACCAACTCAGTTCGGCACAAAGGGAATCAGAGCACCATGCCCCCTCAAAAGACCTCTCCGGAATAACAGCAACCAGACTTCTGTCCTCTCCTCTGTATTCAGGAGTTACCTACCCAGCCAACCTGGATTCTTAAATTGGTATCCTTTAGTCTGATTAGTAGAGGTCATCACGAATACAGAACTATATTCAACTTTCAATCAACAAAGGAAAGAAACTAGTAACAAGTTAAGTACCACCAACGAGGCCTACCTGTGCTAGCCTAAAGAATTTATTCAAAGCCTCACTGCCAGTACATGGAGAAGCACAAATTCAAACCCAGGGCTTTCTGAGTCCAAATGAATTCTTGGTGACTTCAAAGCCAGACTTTAATGCGCAGGTTCACCGAGTCTCCAAACATACTTCTGCTAGATTTCTTGATGATAAAACTATGTTATTTTCTCCCCTTTCATTCTTTACCTTTGTAGACATCTAAAACCTCTAAATTCATTTTAAAAACTAGAAAATAAGATAGTGTGAGGAAGGTCAATCATAGGTCAAAGCTGCAAACACCTTCAGGGGTCTGGAAACTGGTCACATACATGAAGAAGCCAACTGCGTGTGAGACTCCAGGGCGTGTGGGGGTCACTGGTGGATGGAACAGCACAGTGATACCCCTCTACGCCCGAGGGCACGAGGTCTACAGAATTTTCTAATGTAAGAACCACGAGGATTGTGTATTTATTCTTTTTTCATCAATCTTTCTTTTCTGTTCTTTCTCTGCTACTGATTCAATCTTAGAATGCACTACACAATATTAACTATGTTTTAAGCTTCTTAAGGCCCTCACCAGAAGCAGATATTGGCATTATGCTTTCTGTACAGCCAAGAACTATGAACCAATTAAACCTCTTGTCTTTATAAAATTACCCAGTCTCAAGTACTCCTTTATGGTAATGCAAAAGGATTAATTCAGTATATACAAGAAATATATATACTGTCCAAAATGGGTCAATGGAATTAGATCTAATCCCAATCTTTGTCATTTATAAGGTTTCTTGACAAGTGCAAAAGGAAAAAACATGTCACTTTGCTAGTAGTAAAAGTTATACCTAGAAATCTTTGAAATTTTCTTCTTATAAGAAAAAAGAAGCAGGTGGGATAAAAGAAAAACTAAAATGAATATGAAAATAGGTTTCCCAAGGATGAAAAGAATCTGCAGAGCAAGAGTTTAGGAAAATCCCCTCACAGGGCTACATCCATCAATATAATGGTGTAGTATAAAGAGGCGACAATGCCTTTCAAGTGTAAATATTACATTTAATGACCAAGGTAATTCTCCCCATTCAAAAAATAAAGACACATCAATTAGAAAACTTACATATCAGAGGTATTCCCAGGATGAAAGTTACATAAATGATATATCTACAAAGTTTCAAAGTACAGTTTAAATTGAACTTTTTCTTCTACACTTATGTAAAAATTCTAGAAATCCTATGAAAAGCTGCCATTTCCATAAATATATATGCATAGACTTTCATTTTAGAAACAGAAAGAAGCAACTCCCTAGTAAAGAGAAATGGTGACAATGTGAAGGGAGATAGTATCTATATATTCTGATGTTTCATATCCAGATGAACAAAGGATGTGATAAGATGAAGCATAACATTTTACAGACGACATCTGAGCTTGTCGCATACCAAGTACCATCTCTTATTACCGAGTAATAAGAAAAACTGTCAACTCGCACGTTGGTGCTCATTCATTCTTCTTCATAGCCCCATCTCATGAGGTTGAAGAGATGCAGTAAAGCTATCTGCTTTGTACATTATTTGTTTTAAAAAATTCTAAAAATCTGATGGTTTATCAGGGTATTAAAAGAAAATTTAGGAGAATCATTCCATAAACTCTGAATTGGAAAGAATTTTCTAAAACCAGAAATCCTAAAGATACTTACAAACTTGAAAATAGTATTAATGCCAAGTATCTCTGTAAAACTATAAAAAAGAAGTATTGTGATAATGAACATATTAAAAATCATTAATCTGTAAACTGAGTGAATCGTATAGTATGTGAATTATATCTAAATAAAACTCAGAAAAAGAAATATGTTCAATAAATCTATGCCAGCACATTATCATGGCAACAAATAACTGCAAATAATAATTACCTCACTTTTTTTGCCCAAGATTATAGTACTTATGCTGATCACTACCTCTGGTAATGTAAAGAGATTCAATCTTTTAGGAGGACATTTTTTGTTTTAAAATGAAACCATTACAATGTAACCTTTGATGTACAAATTGACTGGGAATGTCTTTTTTCCCTGATACCTAGATGATATCTCTATGAATATACATGCCTCCCATTTATGAAGTTTGGGAGAACATTCACAGTAGTTATCTCTGAAAGGTTTGCTTGCTTTTGCTTTTTTATTTGTGTCAAAATGCTCTGTACCAAAATACAGACTGTCCTTAGTATGCTAACATCTGCAGAGAATCTTAGTCAAAACATCACACATGCATAGTAAGACTAGGGTAATGTTTCCATGTGACTTTAGAGCCTTGCTTCTCACACTGAGATACTGGTGTTACAAAGGACCTCCAGTGCAATGGAGTGTTAGAGATAGTCATGGGATACAAGTATTATCTCTTTATGGAATATCAATTTGATTTGGTTTTAGAGAAAGTTTTTATTTTCCTCCAAAGGGTTCTTTTGGAATGTCTGTTAGTGTGTGGCTGTGTCTGTGTCTGTGTGTCTGTGTGTGTGTTGAGATAAGGCTATACATAAAACCCCTACTTTTCCATGTTTACTAACTTGTATATTTTTCATTCACACACACACACACACACACACACACACACACACACACACACACACACTCTGGATAAAAAATAACTTTCTGGCTTGGCACAGTGGTTCAGGCCCGTAATCCCAGGGCTTTGGGAAGCCAAGTTGGGTGGATTGCTGGAGCCCAGGAGCTCGAGACCAGCCTGGGCAACCTGGAGAAACTCCCTTTCTACTAAAAAAAAAAAAACAAAAAAAAAATTAGCCAGGTGTGGTGGTATGTGCCTTTGGTCCCAGCAAATTGGGAGGCTAAGGTGGGAGAATTGCTTGAAGCCAGGAAGTGGAAATCGCAGTCAGTCGAGATCACACCATGCCACTGCACGCTAGCCTGGACCACAGAAAAAAAAAACAAAAATAAACCAACAAAAGAAAGCCTTTCTATGTTATGAACAACCAGAAAAGTTATCATTTTTGTATCATCAACTCATCTCTAAATAACTAGTCTCCCATTCCTAGCACACACACAAACATGCACACACACATATACACAACTCTGATTTTAAGCTGGGCACATTGCTGTTTACCTAAAAGACTACATTTCCCAGTTTCCTTTGTAGCTAGATATAACCACGTGACTAAGTTCTAGCCAATAAGATATAAACAGAGCTATCACTAGGAACTTCCAGAAAGTCTCCTTAAAATCTCCCTAGTGATTGGAGAATGAAAAGTTGGAAGGACCACGAGTCTCCAAAGATTATGCAAAGTCCCATATGCTAGTCCCACACAACCATCTTCTAGGCTCTTCTACATGAGAGAAATATGTTATTTAAACCACAATTTTTCTGTATGTATAACTGAACCTACCCCTAGCTGATATAAAATTGAGAAAAGCAAGGCAGTATTAGTGTGAGAGTTGTTTCAATGTGAGTCAGATACATTTTTGTCACAAGAACAGACTGTATCTAGGACCTAGCCCACTGGATCAGTCCTTGTCTGCTGGAATTAGTAATTTCAAGGTTGGTCCTAGGAAGCTCACAAAGCTAGCTTTTTTTGAAACTAGCTTGGAAAGACTGGACAAAAATCATGTTTATTTCTACTTTTGATTACACACTTTAAAAATAAATTTTAAATTTATTTTAAATTGAGAATATGGTTTGATAATTAGAAAACAAATTGTGAAGTTGAAATAACCTTGGAGAATATGAGAGACAATAAGGTGAACATGCCAACAACCAGATGTCATCAAGTACCATAACTGACTTGAGCATAAAGATTACACAAGCCTTCAGAAAAATCATGAAGAATACTAGAAACATTTATCGATAAAATGAAAAAGGCTTTGATTAAGAGAAAGTACAAGAGCATTAAAAAAATGCTTAAAACATCTTTTAAGGCTAGTTATAGAACTTACACAAATGGGCCGGGCATGATGGTTCACGCCTGTAATCCCAGCACTTTGGGAGGCCTAGGTGGGCATATCACCTGTCAGGAGTTTGAGACCAGCCTGGCCCACATGGCAAAATCCCGTCTCTACTAAAAATACAAAAATTAGCCGGTTGTGGTGGCAGATGCCTGTAATCACAGCTACTCAGCAGGCTGAGGCAGGAGAATTGCCTGAACCTGAGAAGTAGAGGTTGCAGTGAGCCGAGACTGCACCACTGCATGTTGTCCTGGATGACAGAAGGAGACTCCATCTCAGAAACAAACAAACAAAAACTTACACAAATGAGGAAGTACACATAACAGATTTTGGCATTGATGTAATGATAATATATTCTAGATGGCAAAGAGAAGAAGCAAGCAATCTAAAAGGTTAAAAAAAAGTTGTCTGTAGCTATCAGACAGATTATCAGAAAACATTCATGAACTAGTGTTTTAGTTTGCTAGGGTTGCCTTAAAGTATCACCAACGACATGGCTGAAACTACAGGAATGTATTGTCACTGTTTTGGAGGCTAGAAGTCCAAGTTCAAGATGTTGGCAGGGTTGGGTTACTCCTGAGAGTTATGGGGGAGAATGTCCTCCATGCTTCTCTCCTAGCTTCTGGTGTTTTGCTGGCGATCTTTAGCATTCTGGGCTCCTGTTGCATCACTCCAATCTCTGCCTTCATCCTCACGTGGCATTCTTGCTCTGTGGGTATCTCTGTCCAATTTCCCCTTTTTATAAAGACTCTAGTTATATTAGATTAGGGGCCACTCTATTCCAGTATGACCTCATTGTAACTAATTACATCTACAATGACCTTATTTCCAAACAAGGTCACATTTGATGTATTAGGGGTTAGTACTTCAACCTATAAATTGGGGCAGAAGTCAGGGTGGGAGAAGATAACTCAGCCCATAAGGACTTGTAACAGACCAATTGATTCTTATTCTTTCCCATGATAGCTGGATTAAAGCTGGTGGATGTTAACAATGTACCATTTAATTTTGATCTATGACTTGTATTTATTTATGTACATCTCTGAGACATGTAAACTTACAAAGTAGGTGATCATGAAACAATTGAAATAAATACTAAACAAATGCTTAACTACCAAGGAGTTTCTAGTTGTAATGAGAAAATTCAGACACCTGCACAGCTGGGGGCCACATCCCAAGCAGGTAAAACTACAGGAGTGGTCACCCACAGAACTATTGTTCGGTCTGAACACAACAGCAGCCACTGATTCATCCACTGAGAGCATAGTCTCAAGTACTTCAGAGTGCCCAGTGTATTCAGCTAAATTGGTAAAATTTATTTAAAGTAATATTAGAATTGCTTGAATATTCTTTTTTTTTTTTTTTTTTTTTTTTTGAGACAGAGTCTTACTCTGTCCCTAGGCTAGAGTGCAGTGGCACAATCTCGGCTCACTGCAATCTCCGCCTCCCGGGTTCAAGTGAGTAGCTGGGACTACAGGCATGCGCCACCACACCCAATTAATTTTTGTATTTTTAGTAGAGATGGGGTTTCACCATGTTGGCCAGGATGGTCTCGATCTCTTGACCTCATGATCCACCCACCTCGGCATCCCAAAGTGCTGGGATTACAGGCGTGAGCCACTGAGTCTGGCCCAAGTATTCACTATTTTTAAAAACTTAAGAAAATGATTTTAAAAGGCTGCCTTCCTCACTATACAGCTGTACCCCCTGGAATGTTCTGGTCAGTTTTCAATTTCAATTTCAGGGTTAGAGAGCATTTTGGCTATGTGTCTAAAAAGTAATTAAAAAAAAACCTTTATAACCTATAATGCTACTTCTGAGATTTTACCATAAGAAAATCATAAAGAAAAATGTTTATACATGAAAAATTGTTCATTGTAGTGTTATTTACAACACTGAAAACATGAAAAAACAGTTGTCAGAGAAAAAGGAATGGTTAGAAAATCATAGTATACCCAAGTATATTACACAAAACCATACTATACTATGCAACTGAGACTGAATAACATATAAAGTTACTGATTTTTGTTTTGTTACCTTCCTATAATTCCTTTTCTTTCCAAAGGCCAAGCATGCTCTATCCCTCTCTTGCCTTGAGTGATGGTGTTTCAGAGAGTCAGACAGAGGATGCTATGGCTCACAGACAACCTGACTTCTGACATCTGACATCTTCTGGCAGTCCTAGAGGGGATCTGTGCTCCTAGAGGGGATCAGACCAAGTGTTCCTATGGGTGGCTTTGAGAGCTGCAGGTGATGGCAGCATTAAAGAGATCTATGTCAAGAACAGGGAAGCCCTAAGGCAGTGGTGGCACTTTAGGAGAAAAGGGCTACATGCTAGGACTATGCAGGCAGAGCCCCATGTTCCAAAGGTCACAGATCTGACAGGATTCTCATGCCCAGGAGGGCACCAAAGACATGGAGCGATCAAACTCAGAAGGATCACGGAGGCTTGGATAATGGGAATTTTAGTGGTGAAAGCATAATTGGAGGCCTCCATAGTGCTATGAAAGTGTGCGCGCGCGCACACACGCGCACACACACACACACACCATGGAATCTTTGCAAGGCCCCGGGAGAAGCAAGCTACAACTGAGAAACTGAACATCCCTCTCCCTAACCTGACAGAGCAGTTTTCTAGATTTTGGATGAAAGCAAGTACAGGTATCTTGCATAGCCTAGTTCCTGGATTAAGAATTATACATATTACCTAACCATTAAAATGGTATAAAAACATAATTATGAAAGGTTACGTTTTGTTTTCTCTCTCTCTCTTTGCTTTTTGAGACAAGGTCACACTCTGTTGCCCAGGCTGAGTGTAGTGGCATGATCATGGCTCACCGTAGCCTCCAACTCCCAGGCTCAAGCAATCCTTCTGTCTGAGCTTCATGAGTATCTGGGACTACAGGCATATGCCACCATGCCTGGCTAATTGTTTTACATTTATTGTAGAGATGGGGTCTGGCCATGTTGCCCAGTCTGGTCTTGAACTCCTAGGCTGAAGCACCCCTCCCACCATGGTCTCCCAAAGTGCTGGGACTACAGGCATGAGCCACCACACCCAGCCAAGAAGTTTTCGCACTATAATGTTAGGGAGAAAAAAGGCGGAATACAAAAATATATGAAAATATGATAATATATTGTTGTTGTTTTAAAGCACACAGGAAAGAAGTCTATGAGGAAATATATCAAAAGCCAACAGCTGCTGTTTCCTCTTTTTCAGTGGCATGGGAAGAGGGGATGTTGTTCCTTTTTTCTGCAATATGAATATCTTACTTTTAAAAATGAGAAACAATTCAAAATGAATACATGATTAGAATATTCTTTCCTTTCAAACCTAAGTTAACTGCTGGTTCACATGGCATTCTCATTATTTTATGATTCTGGACATTCATAATACCACTTGTGATATAAAAGTTACAGTTTAGGGTTGGTTTATCAAATTTCAAGCAGGGACGCTGCTACAAAGTTGAAACATAAAGAAGAAAAGTCCTTTCATTAACGTATTAAGTTTCAACTATATTTAACAATCAAGATTTGCTGCTAAGTTAAACATTTATCTATTTTGTTAAAAGGATTTAGTTTGGTCTAATAAGCTTTGGTTTCAATATGTGGTAAATATTTAGGTTTGGCTATCTTTTAACAACTGAAAGGAACACCAATGTTAAAAATGTTCCTATGGATGAGTAGAAATATATGGTACAGGCTGGGCATGGTGGCTCACACCTGCAATCCCAATACTTTGGGAGGCCAAGTTGGGCAGATCACCTGAGGTCAGGTGTTCAAGACCAGCCTGGCCAACATGGTAAATTTCGGTACCTACTAAAAATACAAAAATTAGCCAGGCTTAGTGGTAGGCACCTGTAATCACAGCTACTCAGGAGTCTGAGAATTGCTTGAACATGGGAGGCAGAGGTTGCAGAAAAAAAAAGGTGGGGGGGAATATATGATACATTTCTAAAATTAAGCTAACATTTTAGGCAAAGAAAATCCATATCCTCTTTAACACACTTATAATGCAATGATTTCAGTATACAAAATGGGACTTCACTTTCTGTTTTTGTTTCTTGGGAAAAGGAAGTAGAAGAAAGGGTATTTCTCCTTTTAATTTTGGAAAAATGGTATAGATGGTGGTTAAGTGCTTATAGAAACAGAAAACCTGAACTTTTTATCTTGAATTTCTCACTAGTTTTGTGATCCAGTGTAAGGTTTCCTAAACTTTACATACCTAATTTTTTTCCCCATCTGTCGCACTGGGATTAAATAAAACGGGTCTCATTAATGTACTATGTGGATCAAATGCTACATGCACAGGTCATAGAGAGTTAGCACTGTGACTCTTCTATTATTGTTATTATTTAGGAATAGGATTTATTCTCAAAAAAGAAAGCTTCCCTTCATCACAAGGAACAGAAAAACTATAATGTAACTCACAAAATTCATTTTCGCTTCAGAAATCCCTGTTATTTCTACAGTGTTAATAACTATCTTGGAAGAAAATCACTGAAGTTATCAACTTTTTCCCCTTTATTGAACCATGTATAGTTACAGACAAATAATAAATGGTAAAATATCTAAATAGCTAAATATTATGTGATCTTAAAAAATATTATTTCCAAAAAAGAAAAACTGCAAAATGGTTTTATTATTAAATAGTAAAGATAATGAAATCTTACTACACACTTCAGTTTTCCAGTGGTGTAAAAGTTTTCTAATGATTTATTTAGGATTGGTGTACTCATGTAAAAATTAGCTAAAAAATCAAATGATTATAGAGTTATGCAGCTAAAATACAGGAAGAAAGTTGTCAGGATGAACAGTGTAAGCCCATTGCTGAATGGCAACAAACACTTGTTCTCAGCACAAAGGAGCAATAGGGAATAGGGTGAATGCAGTGACCTGGGGACATGAGTCCCAAGAGGATATCTTCTCTGGACAAGCAGGAATTCAAATCCAATAATGCTCAAAGGGACAGTTTGATCCTTCCATCCTTCCAATAACAGAAATAACTTGGTTCTAAAAGTTAGGGACTCATTTAATTAACAATAAAAGCGTAGGGGGCAAAAACAAAACAAAACAAAAACAAACCCAAAAAAAACCAAACAAAAAAAAAACAGACACACATCTCAGTGCGGAATCTTGCACTGGTGCCACTTTGTAACCTACAATATAAGTGTTCCCAATCACCTAAAACATTTTCAATAACATATCTTTTGCAGTATTTGACGTAAGAAAAATAAATTTTATTTTAAAAAAGCCCTTTCACTCTAAGTCCTAGTTAGAGCAATTAGACAAGAGAAATAAATAAATGGCATCCAATTTAGAAAGAAAGAAGTCAAATTATTCTTGTTCAAAGATGTGATATTTTTAAAACCTAAAAATTAGACCAAAACATTGTTAGAACCAGTAAATGAATTCAGTAAAGCTGCAGAATACAGTCAACATACAAAAAAATCAGTAGCACTTATATAACTCAACAGTGAACAATCTGAAAAAGAAATCAAGAAAGCAATCCCATTTACAGTAGCTCAAAAAAATTTTTAAATTCCTAGGAATCAATTTAACAATAGAAGTAAAATATCTCTACCAGAAAAACTACAAAATGAAAGGAATTGAAGAGGACAAAAAAGGGAAGATATCCCATGCTCATGGATGGAAAGACCTGGTACCATTAAAATGTCCCTCTCAAAATACCAATGACATTCTTCACTGAATTGAAAAAAAGCAATCATAAAATCTGCATGGAACCACAAAAGACCCCAAAATAGAAAAGTAATTCTGAGCAAAAAGAACAGAAGGGGAGGCATCACACTACCTGACTTCAAAATATACTACAAAGCCATAGTAAACCCAACAGCTTAGTACTGGAATAAAAACAGACCCATGGACCAATAAAAACCAAAGAGAACCCAGAGATAAATCTGTGCATTTACAGCTAACTCACTTTTGGACAAAGGTGCCTGGAAACATTGATTGGGGAAAAGACAATCTCCTTCCTTAATAAACAGAGCTGGAAAAACTGAATAAGTACATGCAAATGAATAAAGCTAGACCCCTGTCTCTTACCATATATAACAATCAACTTAAAATGAATCAATGACTTAAATCTAAGACCTGAAACTATGAAACAACTAGAAGAAACTACTGGGGAAATGCATCTGGACACTTGTCAAGACAAAGATTTTTGGGGTAAGACTTCAAATGCACAAACAACAAAAGTAGAGATAGAAAAATGGAATCGTATCAAGCTAAAAAGCTTCTCCACAGCAAAGGAAACAATCAACAAAGAGATAACCCACAGGGTGGGAAAAAATATTTGTAAACTATTCATGAAACAAGGGATTAATAGCCAGAATATATAAGAAACTCAAATTTAAAAAACCAAATAATCCAGTTTTTAAAATGGGCAAAACATCTGAATAGACATTTCTCAAAAGACATGGCAATCCAAAAGGTGTATGAAAAAATGCTCAACATCATGTATGTGCATCAGAGAAATGTACATAAAACCACAGTGAGATATCATCTCATCCCAGTTAAAATGGCTTTTATCAAAAAGACAAAAACAAAACAAACAAATAAACAACAAAACAACAACAACAAAAAAAACAGCTTCTGGTGAGGATGAAGAGAAAGGGAAACACTTGTACACTGCTGGTAGGAATATAAATTAGTACAGCCACTATGGAAAGCATATGGAGCCTCCTCAAAAAACCAAAGACAGAAATACCATATGATCCAGCAATGTAAAGGAAATCAGTGTATCAGAGAGATATCTGCACTCCTATGTTAATGCAGTACTATTCACAATAGCCCAAACTATTCAGTAGCTGAGATACATAATTTAGGTGTCCATCAACAGATGAATTAAAAAAAAGTGATACAAATATAACAGTGGAATACTGTTCACTCATGAAAAGAATGAAATCCTGTCATTTGTAGCAGTATGAATGGAACTGGAGGGCATTATATTAAGTGAAATAAGCCAGGAACAGAAAGATAAATATCATGTGTTCTCACTCATATGTGGGAGCTTAAATAAAAGTGGACTCATGAAGATAGTTGATTGGTGGTTACCTCGGCAGAGAAGGGTAAGGAGAGGAAAGGAAGAATAGAAGTTGGTTAATGGGTATAAATATACAGTTAGATAAAAGGAATAAGATCTAGTGTTTGAAAGCACAGTAGGGCAACTATAACAAACAATAATTTGTTGTATAGTTCAAAATTGCTGGGGGAGAAGAATTAGAATGTTCCCAATATAAAGAAGGAGTCAATGTTTCGGTTAACAAATGTCCCAATTGCCTTGATTTTATCATTACACATTGTATGCATATATCAAAATACCACATGTACCCTTAAAATATGTACAGCTCTTACACATCAATAAAAAAATAAAAACAAACAAACATAAGCAGCAATGGCTACCCAGGAAAACATACCTTGCATTATTTGCAAACACCACCACTTTAATATATTCACTTATTTTTGACGAAAAAGTACTTGAAAACTAGAAAATAACTCATGCAGTTGTAATTGAGGCATACCCAAACCCTGCCTATTTGCAACATAGTCAAAAACAACTGACAAGCAAAACAGCTCCTGAGCAGAAAATATTATGGTCACAACTTCATACATTGGATTTACATAGATGCACACTGGATTACACTGGATGTACATACATGATGTTACATAGGGCTTCTGTCGCTTCTTCTGACTTGTCTTACTCTGGTTTTACATGTAACCTGCCAGAGGGACGAAGGGGGTTACTGAAGACAGGCCCACTGATAACA